AATAAATAAATTTGCACGAACATTTGCTAGAAAGGCGGCACACAAACAAATACCGTGCCATTGTCCGTGTGTGTGTCGATAACTGTCTGATACTGCCTTGAATAGCTTTACTTCTTTGGTCAAATGTTCCACATAAATTCGTTTGCTTGATAGATAAAAATTGAACAATCGTTTGTATGCTTCAGGAAATTGCCGAAGTTCGTTTCGCCGAACGGGCGTCAACAGTGAACCGCCGTTTGCGAAACCCTTATCTGCCAGTATCTTGGTGTGAGGCGGGATCGGAGGTACGTTATTCAACATATTTGAGTGAGTTACCATTCGACCATCGTGGACAGATCCTAGATATCCGGTTTTAAATTAAATTAGTCGACGATCGGTGGAGACAATGTAGATAGATGCAAGACAGTGGCCTTTTTTCTTTCCACTGTAATACAAACGCTGGAATTGGGCTAAATTTGTGAAATGAAAGGTACAATTTAAACCAGCCTTTATTAAAAACGAGTTTACAGAGTAAAAAAAGGTGCTATGTGCTACAGTTTATCATTCCTTTCTAACGAAAAGTCAAATTTCCCCCGACACTTTTTGAAATGAAATTATCATCTAGCTCAGTCGTGCATACAAACTTTTTTTACTCAAACTGATTACTTTCGCTTACTTGGACGATTAATTGAATGCCGTGTGCCATCGATTGATCCGATGTATCGTCCCAACACTGGATGAAATAGAATCAAATGTTTCATGTCGTTTGCGCTTGGCCAAGAAATCATTTCATTCAGTGTTTTCACAAGCACAGGAAAACACACTAATCGTAAGCGACCGACCTGATATATCGAGATACCGAACATTAAACTTAATACACTGTAAGTTGAATATTGTCTCAGCCAGATGAAAATGAGAAGTAGAACATTCACATTGTACTGAGATGAGTGTATTCGTTGTCGAAGCATGGATAAACGACGGATCATGTTTGTCTGAAAACAGTTGAATATGTCATCAAACGCATCCATCGTAATGCCAGTAAGCGAACAGAAACGACGTGGTGTTGGAGCCAATTCGGCGTATAGATCACGAATGTTTCTACGTTGGTAACGATCAGGTGGGACGATTAATTCATACGGAGTTAATCGTGGAAGAATCGACAATAAGCTGAGGATTGTTTCACAATTTGCTAAAAATGATCTTATTTTACGTTTCTCGTTGTCGTTCTCGCATATTCGATACATTTGTTCAATCATATGAACGAGTTGTACAATGTCTGAACACATTTCACTTATAACGAGCAAAGCTCGTCTTGGATGTCTTGCAGCCATGTGTTTCAAAAGAAAAAGTGTTTTAAAGGTAACGGTGTTTCGCACTAAAATCTCGTGGACATCATTATGAAGTAAAAATCATTTATTTATTAAGCGAACTGTCGATGCGTGCGTGACTCACATTATCTTTTCCGGCCTAAACTATTTATACATGTACGGGGCCATTGGTTTAGGAAGTATTTATTTCATATATTCACACGATATCGGCCGAAAAATGTCGGTGTTAGGTTATATAACAGGCAATAACGTGAGTACTCAATATCACATTTACATTTCTGTTCTGAACATATGAACAAATATTTCCCAGAACAATAGAAATACGTCAGTGTCATACATGTATAATTAGCTTTAGTCCAAAAATTTAGTCGTTTATATTTTTTTCATAAGATGTATCTTTTATTACAGGTATAGTATTGTCGGATACTGGTCTCAGAATAGCATCTGTACACATCCTCTACTGTACTGTTCGTTGTTAGAATAAAACAAATAGTGTTAACTTTTCTTTTTCTCGCTTGTCCCGCTTATGCCAACTGATCAGATAGGAAGAAAAATTGTCACATGATAAGTCCTGTATTTCCAAGAAGGTTTTAAGTATACCAATATTTTCCTTTCTTGTTCGGCTCTACACATAACGTTAAAATAATTACTCTTTAGATAGTAGATAGTCTCTCTCTCTACATATATATATAAATATATTCGTTGTGATCACATTCTCTGTCACTTCTGTAGATCATTATTTCACACAACCTAATAATCTGGAACTTTACCACACACATTCAAAAAATAACAGTTGTGTTCAAACAATGTCTAAGAAACAGGGAAGGCAGTATCGTTTAGTCCATGACACTGAACGTGAAATTGTCACCACGTTGGTGAATGAGGTCGGCCCTACTCCATCACTGATCGTTCAACGAATAAAAAATGGTGGTTTTGGGGACCTCAGTGATTATTACAATCGACTTCAATCAAGATCAAGTAGTCAACGAATCCAATCAATATTGCAATCAACCGCTCAAAGGTGAGTATCATTTTTTTCTCTTCCTACTAAAAACGATCAGTTATACGAAGATCTCCCTTTATTTAGTGTCAGTCGGGTCCGTGTCAATGATACGGAGAATTTTTCGCCGTTAGCGTCCGATACGTTCGATTATATTCGTTATAATGACAATTCAATCTCGTACGCGTCTTCACGTGTTCGTCAAGGATCGCTCATTTCATCGTCTAATCCAGATGAATTATCATCGCGAACCACACAGGTATTGGACATGTATCAACAACAATTGGACTCGTACAGTCGACAACGATTTAATTTATCACCAAACATGGTAAGATCCGTTTGTTTAGGTTTCCCATCAGACTAACGTGTTTTTTTTTTCTCATTCTAGAACGATGGGGCACGCACCCCAAATGCCTCACCGCCAAAAACTACATCGACGATGTCACCAACTGTTCAGTTGACATACGACGAGATGGATGATGATGAACATCGATTAGCGATAATAAAACCACGATGGATGCGTTTGATGACATATTCAACTGTTTTCAGACAAACATGATCCGTCGTTTATCCATGCTTCGACAAC